GTGTGTGTGTGTGTGTGTGTGTGTGTGTGTGTGTGTGTGTGTGTGTGAGTGTGATTAATGTGTTATATAAAACTTACCGGCACGAACTTTGATCTTCCGCCCGACAAGGTCATCCAACCACAATCTTGGCTTCTCTTTCATTGGGCGAGCAGTAAAGAGTGATGATGGATCGCTTGGTTTACCAACACCAGCAGCATTGACAGCACTCACACGATATTCATATTGATGAGATTCTTGCACGCGTGGATCTTCGTATTCGGTGCCGCCCAAATGTGGTGCTTTTGTTAATTTAATCCATCGACCAGTAGCCTTATCACGTCGCTCAATTTCGTAGCCAATGAGTGGCGAGCCCCCATTACTAATTGGTGCTTTCCATTTAATGGTGATGTGATTCTTGTCACTTTCAACAAGTTCTGGTTTGCTTGGTCGTCCAGGAACATCATATTGATTTTTGGCAATAATTGGCGAATCGGATGTCAGTGGATCTGATCGTCCTTGCAAGTTCTCGGCCATAACACGGAATTCATATTGTGTGCCATCAAGTAAACGAGGAACAGTGGCGTGTGTATATTTGGCATTAACATAAGTAACAGCTGGTACCCAACCCCCACCACCACCACCACCACCATGTGTAAGATCACGTTTCTCAATGACGTATGCGGTAATTTCAGAGCCACCGTTATCCTTTGGTGGTTTCCATGAAATGGTAACACTGTTGGCAGTTATTTCTTCGTATTCAAGTGGTCCAGTTGGTGGGCCTGGACGATCCAGAACAATTATTTGGAATGTACCTTCGTCAGTGCCAGAGTCGTTTTTCAAATGCAATTTGTATGTGCCTGAATCAGAACGTTTACAATTTACAGTGTGTACGATTGTATGATAGCCAATTGATGTAACTGTCGTGCGATCTGTAGTTTCAAGATCTTTATGGCCATCGACGGTCCATGTAACTTCTGGCGTTGGTTCACCAATGAAATCGATGTCAACATGGAAAATAAGACCAGTCTTGATACGAATATCATTTAATGGGGTGGTGACAATTTTTGGTGCAAGGAAACGTGCTTTAGCAATGATAGTATCCGATGGTTCGGACGGTTCCGATTGGCCAGCTTTGTTAACAGCAATAATACGGAATTCGTATTCTTTTCCTTCTGTTAAATCTGGTACGGTTGCTTGTGTCTTCATTGGTGGTACATGGACAGAATTAATCCAATAGGGGCTACCTTTTTCTTTCTTTTGCACAATGTATTCGGTAAGGGGGGAGCCTCCATCTGATTTTGGTGCTTTCCATTCCAAATCGACATGATCTTTGTCCCAATCTTTGATAGCTGGTTTTCCTGGTGCATCTGGTTCATCAAATTCATTTTTGGCAATTATACTCTTGTTTGCCTCTAGTGGTTCTGATTCTCCAATTGCATTAACTGTCTTCACACGGAACAAATATTCTTTTTTATGCACTAAACGAGTGACATCATGAGCTAGATTAAAGCTCATACCAGCGTCCGACCATGTTCCACGTGATAGATCCATCTTTTCAATGACATAATGTAAAATTGGTGCGCCCCCATTATCGAGTGGCATTCTCCAGGCCAAATGGCATCCTTCTTTTGTGATGCCCGTAATATCAAATGGTGGTTGTGGTGAGCCCGGCTTATCAAGTACGGTGACATTTGCCGATGCCGTAAATTCTCCACATTCATTGGCCAGTGTCAATGTATATTGTCCCGAATCTCCACGTACTGAATATGGAATTTCAAATGTAAGTTCATTATTATACAGTTGCATATCGATACGTGGGCCGCCAGCTTCAAGTTGTTTGCCATGTGCAAACCATCTGAATGTTGGGCGTGGCGATGCTTCGATCGGGAGTGTCCATTTTATTGGTTTTCCAGCATGAACAACCAAATCTTCAAGCAATTTCTTATCAAAGTGTGGTGCAACGAAACGCGCTCTTGCGACAATTGGTGTGGAAGCGTCACTTGGTTCACCCGGTCCACCTTTGTTAACTGCAATCACGCGGAATTCGTATTCTTCAAATTCAGTCAAATCTGGAACACGAGCATTTGTTGCAGCAGCAGCACCACCACTTGGACCAGTAGTAGTTTCAATAGCCTTTTCCCATGTGCCAAATTTGGGTTTTTTCTCAACAATGTAACCAATGATCGGTGCGCCACCATTTTTCTTTGGCGGCGTCCATTTCAAATCAACATGATCCTTATCCCAGTCTGTAACTTCTGGTTTTCCTGGTTTGTCTGGCTTTCCGAATGGATCTTTGACAGTGATTGGTTGATGTGTGGTCAGTGGCATTGATTCACCTTGCTTATTCACAGCACGTACACGGAAGTTATAGTCATGACCATCAATCAAATTATCAGCACGAAGTGATGTTGTTGTTGATGAAACACTTTCTCCAACTGGTACCCAACGCATTGCATCAGTATCCATTTTTTCAACGACATAATGTGCAATCTCTGAACCTCCATCATCTTTAGGTGGACGCCAGCTGAGTGTACATCCTGATTTGGTAACATTATCAGCACGCAATGGTCCCTCTGGTGGGCTAGGTATATCGAGCACAATAACTGTAACTGTTGCCTTATCGACACCATTGATGTTACGAGCAACCAGTGTATATTCTCCACTATCAGCTCGTTTGGCATCAATCACTTTAAGTTTCGTACGATAAGGTTCGAGGTTTATGATTTTAACACGATCCGAATTGACAACTATATTATCCTTCAATGACCATTCCTTCGATGGTGGTGGTTCGCCACACACCGGCACATCATAGTCGAAGTTTTGGCCAGCACGAATCTTAATATTTGTCATGAAGTTGCGATCTATCTTGGGTGCCAAATTCTTTGGTCTTGCCACATGTTTGTCAGTAGCATCACTTGGTTGACCTGGACCGGCTTTATTAACAGCACGAACTCGGAATTCATATGTTAAACCATCGATCAAATCAGTTACTTTACCAGTTGTAATATCACCTTCAACTTCGGCACATTTCTCCCAGTCGGGACTATATTTGTCTTTCTTTTCAATAACATAACCAATGAGTGGTGAGCCACCGTCACTTTCTGGACGCTTCCACTCCAGTTCCACAAAGTCAGTATCGTAGTCTTTGATTTGTGGCTTGCCGGGTTTAGTTGGCTCATCAAACGGATTTTTAGCTTCGATAGCTTGAGCTGTGTTCAATGGTTCAGATTTACCTTGTTTGTTAACTGCACGTACTCTGAACTTATATTTATGACCAGGTGTTAAACCGACTACTGCCAATTTTGTTACTGGTCCATCACCGGTGGTGGTGGTTTCACCGGCTGGTACCCAACGACCAGTATTTTCATCCATTTTTTCAACAACATATTTCTCTATTGGTTGACCACCATCATCTTGTGGTGGTTGCCATTTGAGTGTTGCCCCTTCGGCATGAATATCATCAACCTTCAATGGTCCTTGTGGTGGGCTAGGTACATCGAGCACAGTAACTTTTACATCTGCTGTGTCTGAACCATTAATATTTTCAGCGGTAACTGTGTAAACACCGGATTCAGCACGAGTTGCATTTTGTACTTTCAGTATAGTATTATAATCAACATGTTTCACTTTTACAACATGATCATTTGGACGACGACGTACTTCACGTTTGTTCAACAACCATTTAGTAATTGGAACTGGTTCACCACTGACTTTAACATCATAATTGAAATTCGATCCAGCCTTGATTTTGATTTCAATTAAATTAGTACGATCGATGCGTGGGGCTTGATTACGTGGTTTAGCACAAATGATTGGTGTTGCATCGCTTGGTTCACCCGGTCCACCTTTGTTAACAGCACGAACACGGAATTGGTAACCTTGTCCTTCGATCAAATCTGGAACTGTTGCTTTGCATTGATCAGCTGGCACCATAGCCTCGATAGCCTTCTCCCATTGACCATATTTGTCTTTCTTCTTTTCTACAATGTAACCGGCTATTGGTGAGCCCCCATCTGTAAGTGGTGGAGTCCATGCCAAATCAACATGATCTTTATCCCAGTCAGTAGCACGGACATTTTCTGGTTTTCCAGGTTCATCGAATGGATTCTTGGCAATGATAGAATGTTCAGTTTCCAATGGTTCTGATTCACCTTCAGCATTTACAGCAGCAACACGGAACTTATACTCTTTGCCAGGTGTTAAATTGACAACATCATAATGTGGCTCAGATGAGCGTCCAACTGGAATCCAACAGCCAGTTTCACTGTCAAATTTGTCGACTTGATAGTAATCAATTGGAATACCACCCATATCCTTTGGACGCTTCCATTTAAGTTTACAGCCATCTTTGTGAACATCAGACACTTCAAGTGGTCCTTCTGGTTTCGATGGTTTATCAATGATTGTAACGTTAACAGTTACCGAATCTTGGCCTGAACTATTTTTAGCAGTAATAGTGTATTCACCTGAGTCACTACGTTTGGTTGGTCGAATGACCAATTTAGAATTGTAATCGACATTATCAATGGTAACAGCTTTACTTGGTGTCAATGGCATATTACAGTAGCGCCACTCAACGTGTGGTGGTGGTTCGCCGCCGATTATGTTTACGTCGTATTTCAATGCGGTGCCCGCCGACAAAGTGATATCACGCAAATTGCGACGATCGATCTTTGGAGCAAGGAATCTTGGTTTTGCAACAAAATTCTTGCTGGCGTCCGATGGTTCAGAAGCACCGGCTTTATTTAAAGCAATAACACGGAATTGGTATTCGTTACATTCAATCAAACCATTTATTGTAGCAGCAGGAGTTTCACCACCAGTTGTTTCAAGTGCCTTCTCCCACATGGGACTATATTTGTCTTTCATTTCAATGATATAACCAGTGAGTGGTGATCCACCATCTGTGATTGGTTCTTTCCATACTAAATCAACATGGTTTGCAGACCAATCGGCAGGTTCCGGTGTACCTGGCTGTGATGGCACAACATATGGATCTCGAGCAATAATTGTGCCAAGAGTTTCCAATGGTTCGGCGGATTCCCCTTCCTTGTTAACGGCTTTGACGCGGAATTTATATTCATGATTCGGAATCAAACCGTCAACTTCCATTTCGGGTGTTGAACCTTCAGTTTTACCAACAGGCAACCAAATACCGGTGTCCGGATCGAATTTTTCGACAACATAGTTTTCAATTGGTTCGCCGCCATCGTCTTTCGGTCTCTTCCACTTAAGAGTGCATCCATCCTTAGTAATATTTGATACATCTAGTGGCCCTTCTGGTTTACTAGGTTTGGCTAAATAAATAGAAATAGAATATCAGCATTTAATTAATAATAAAAGAGTATATAAAGTAATTATACTCACAGATAATCGTAATTTCGATTTCCTCTTGATCTTGGCCATATTTATTTTGTGCAACGATTTTGTACGTTCCCGTATCCTTTCTTTCGGGATTATCGTTGAAGAGTTTTGTGTTGTATGGAACATTATCAACACGCTTGTGATGACTCGTTACTTGCAGTGGTTTACCATTGACAAACCATGCAACTTCTGGAGCTGGCTCACCACTAACCTTTACATCCACAAAAATTGGTTCACCTTCTTTAACGGTAATATTACGCAAGTTCTTGCGATCGATTTTGGGTGCCACTAAAATAAATGTGTGTGACAAAAAGAAGTATTTACGATAAGAAATAACTTATTGGCAAAATAAGCATGGGAAAAAATTAAAAAAAAAAAAAAAAAAAAAAAAAAACAAAGTAAATTCTGAAGTATTTTCAGTTTTTTAAAAATTTCATTGATAATCCGATACGTCCGATTACACGACCCCCCGATGTGACGATAATTATAATTTTGATTTTAGTCAAATATTTATGTAAACAAATCAATTGGTCTATATTATGTCGATGACGTGAAGTGTGACGATGATGATTGAAGATGTACACATTTCTTGGGCCTTGAGTAGTGTTGGCTGCGAACACTCGTTCGATCTTTCGTAGGCAATAGAAATAAAAATTTTGTTCGTTTGTTTGTTCGTTCGTAGGAATTGAAAAAAAAATTTGTTCGTTCGTTCGTTCGTAGAAATCGAAAAATAAAAATTTTGTTCGTTCGTAGCGATTTTTTATTTCAAATATTAAGAAAATTATGACAATATTAAGAAAATTTGAAATAAAAAATCGCTACCAACGAACCAACAAACGAACGAACAAAATTTTTATTTTTCGATTTCTACGAACGAACGAACAATTTTTTTTTTTTTTTTTTTTTTTTTTTAATTCTTATGAACGAACGAACACAATTCAATTTTTAAAATTCTACGAACGAACGAACAAAAATGTTATTTCTATTGCCTACGAACGTTCGTTCGTTCGTTCGTTCGTTCGTAGCCTTGAGGTAAATAATTATAATAAATAGCACCAAGATCGAAATTTTGAGTACACCAAAATTGGCCCTTCGATAAAAAAATTCCTTGCGAAAAAATGTTGTACAGAAAAGTACACATCTTGTAGATATGTTTAGGGATATTGAATCAATATCAAAAAAATTGAGATGATACACAAACACGGAAAACAATCTTTTTGACGAATTTATGAAAAGCAATGAAAATGACTCTATGGCCATCGATTTAATTGAAAGCAGCAGCATCAACACGTAACAAGTTCAAAGATGAGGAGGCAAACGGTGGTCACTGGATCAAATATAGAAGGTAATATGTTTGCATAAGTAGTGGTCGCATCCTCTATAGTCGCCGCCGTTTGAGTGTAGCCATGTAATTGTTGTTGTTGTTGTTGTTCTTTCGTGTGAAGAGAAAAGGCTGTATTAAATGATGTATTTTGGCGCTCGTTGATAAATATGTATCGCAATATTTATTGACATTGAGAAAATATTTTTTTTTTTGATAAAAAATAACTTTTTTTTGAGATATCTAAACTTTTGTATAGATTTAAGAAAAAAATCATTTCTACCAATAATCTATACATTATTTCCGTGTGTGCAGGGCAATCCAATCCAAAAGGTAGTAATAACAACAACTCAATTTCTTCATTGGACTTGCCTTGTTATAACAAATAACGGAGACTGTTAAAATATGATACGATTAATGGCTCTCTAATTCACAGAGTATTCCAAACGGTTTAAATTGGATATTTTCGCGTGTTTTTGAATTTCTCTCTGTTTCAGCTATTAATTTATTGACTATATTAAACTTATCCTTTTGATTTTTTATCAAAATTTCAATTTCGTTTCTTCCTTTATTTTGCTTTAGTCAATGTCGGAATATGATGGCGTTTTATTTTCAACCAAAAGTATGTTTTAGCGTAGATGGCGCTGATTTAAATGGACATTTGTATGTGTTATAGACGCGTGGTGGCGCCGCCGCCGCCCTAATCAATTAAACACTGGACTACAGCGTTTTTTCCAATCGTTGGCTTTAGTATCGACGACGACGACAATCACGATTGATACAGATTTGAAAAATATCGAAAAATGTCTAATCGGTAAGTATCTTTTAAAATGATGGAAAAAATATTTACGGAAGAAGAAAAAATAGTGGTAATGCTATTTTTTTGTTTCGGTCAATAGCACAATATTGCTTTTTTCTAAAACAATCGTACCATACAAACAATTACCCCGAAATAATCTAACAGTAAACATCGAAATCTGTTTTTTTCTTTTTGTCCAAATTCATAGAGACCAATCATTTTGGTCCGCAATCAACGCAAGACATACTTGATTTTGGAGAAAATAGTTTTCGTGATTATATCTCGTCAAGGCACCAAAATTGAAATATCTCACCAAAAACAAAGACACAAGAAAAATACAAATTCGCGCCCACAATGTTGTCATATATTTTGCTGGAACGAAAGAAGGCCAAAACATCTTGAATAAACTAATGGCATCGAGGCACTATTTCTCAAGTAAATATTGATCGATTGTAGACAGAGCAGGCTGTGTGTTTTGTATGATTTCAGCAGGCACTGCTATTTCTAGCGCGATAGCTATGTGCCTGCTGTAAACAGTGTGTGTGTTTGACAGACCGATTGACAGTAACCCGTCAAATACTATGAGACTATGGGGTATTTTGTGAAAATTGGCTCGGAGGGCATCTGGAAAAAATACTTTCTAAAGGTTTTTTTGTTAGATGCTGAAGCCGCATTTTTGGGTTTCAGGTTAAAAAAATCAGGGGTTGGGGGGTTATGACCCCTGACCCCCCAGAGGGTGAGGGGAGTTGGAGGGCAGCTGACCCAAAAAATGTCTCTCATCATTCTGAACAACTTTGTAGAACATAATTTTTTGATCCGATGATAAAATCGACATCAACAAAAAAAAAAATTGGAAAAAAAAAGAAGAAAACGGCCATTTTTGCCAGTTTTTGTATGGAAATCGTATCAAAACGTTATTATATCGCAAAATAAATGTCAAAAATGGATTCCTCGACCCCAGAAACCCCAGCAGCATACACACATTTGGCTAGAGAAAAAATAATGTTTTTTTGTCTTTTTCATACAACATCTAAGTCGATTTTTAAATATTTTGGAAAATATCTACATAGAAAAATCCGCAGACTCGAAATTCCTTTTAGACATATGGTTTTTGTTGGGCAAAAATTCTTTTTATGACTCATAGAACCAAAATCGCGATTAGCCTTTGTAGGTTTTTCGGCCCCCTACAAATTGACCCACTCTTATACACATTCATGAATGCTGCGCGTAATACTGTTGTGTTTTCATGAACCGATCTAAACATTCGAGTATAAAAATATA